GCTCAAATTTGGCTGCTTTATACATTGGGGTTACAAACTGTTATAGACTTAGTTATTTATGTTAGTTATTCTGCACCGTCAAGCTAGGACGGTTCAAAATCGAACCAACCCAAAAGAAAATTGTAAACCACTAAGGGTTTATATAGAGTGACAACTATCACCTTATAAGCCAGTTTTATATGATTGAGTTAGGCCAAACTTTTATTCTACCAGCTGGGCGCAAGGGGGTGTATTGGAAAAACCAAGTCCCATACATCGATAATTTAGGCCACCCACACCATTTATATCCATGCACCAAGCCCAATAGTGTTGGGCGTGAGGGGGGTGTATTGGAAAAAACTAAAGTCTCACATTGGTTAAAGATAGAACCCACAAAGGATATAAAGTGACAATCATCACCTTACAAGCCGGTTATGTAGGGTTGAGTTAGGGCAAACTCTTATTCTACCAAATTGTGTTGGGGGAGTTTTTCAACTAGTCACTTATAAATGCAGACACATCACATATTCACTCACAACCTTAAGCCGGTACCTTCCTTGAACTAAAGACTCATGATACCGTGTGTTGGGGGAGTTTTTCAAAAAGGGAGCATTGAACATTGTGAGACTTCTCTTTAAAAAACACTTTTGTGAGAGACACATCACATATTCACCCAAAACCTTAAGGTGATAGGTGAGTGAGTTCTCTCACTTATAAATGCTTAAGTCTCCACATTTCCAACCAATGTGAGACTATTACCCACACAACTCACACTTGCTGCATTCTCAACAATATCTAAAAGCCAACTGAACCAAACCGATTGGCATGCTTTTTTATCTTGCAGTTCGGATGATTTTTAACGTCAAAATCGCTCAAATCGCACCGTGAACACTCCTAACTAAGACTCTTCCCCTAGCGGCCGGCCTCCGTTTTGCTCCGCTATTGGCCGCTATTGACTACGCTGGTTCAAAGGAGGAGAGGGGTATGAATGGAGGGCATGAGAGATAAATCATCTATGTTTTGTAATGGAAGGTACCAGATATGACATCAAAGCAAATAGTAATTTGAAAAAAATAGATGTGATTGAATGTAACCGCATGTATTGATGTTTTGCCAGACACCGACATGTGTGGGATACTAGACATATCTTAAATATTAAATGTCTGTGCTACATAGAAGAAATTACACAAATTTTGTCGATGTTGTTGTCTATATGTTTTTTCTTATGGTAACTTCTTTTTTTAAGCTAACTTTTAATGTTGTACATGTGCAGAAACCCAACAGATCAACAACTTTTGATGATGTACGTGTATTGAAAAGCTACTGATTAATGTGTTATGTTGCATTTTTATGTGTGATAATTGTCCGTTGTCATTTGTGATGCTCATGTTTCTATCGTTTTACCTTTTCAGTCATCTCTGTCCTCACTTGAATCTTCATTAATCAATTTTCAACTTGATTCTTTCAAACTCTTGGAACTCCTTGGACCTGAAAAGGTTGATCCTGCTGATGTAAAGCTAATTAAGGATAAGCTTTTTGGTTATTCGACCTTTTGGGTGACCAAAGAGGAGCCTGTTGGGGATTTTGAAGAAGGCGTTCTTTTCTTCGGAAATTTAAGGGGAAAGAGAGAGGATGTTTTTCCTATACTCCAAAAACGGCTAGTTGAGGTCACCGGTGATAAGTACAACCTTTTTATGCTGGAGGAACCTGATTCAGACAGTCCTGATCCACGGGGTGGGCCACGTGTTAGCTTTGGTTTGGCACCGAAGGAGGTTTTTCAGCCCAGGGCAACAACACTTTGGCAATATGTCATTGCATCTTTGTTGTTTTTTCTCACCATTGGTACCTCGGTGGAGATAGGAATTGCATCACAGGTAGGCTGGTTATCAATACTATTTGAACACCATGTCGTGATTGGCGAATGTTTGTCTTAGAATTTGTGTGTCAACCTTACAAATCTGGTTTGTAAGGCGAGGAGGACTGCCCTCACTTAAAACACATTATTCAGACGATATCCAACGTGGGACTCTTGGCAGTTTGTAAACAACTATAGTCTATCTAAATGTCATTGATTGCTTCAATGTTTTACAAGTTACCATCTTCTTCTGCCACGTCTATATATTTTATTGATGCCTTGTTTTTGATTAATCAGATCAGCAGACTTCCCCCAGAACTTGTGAAATTCTTAACAGACCCTAACTTTACGGAAGCCCCGGATATGGGACTGCTATATCCATTTGTTGACTCAGCGTTACCTGTAGCATATGGTGTCTTAGGGGTTCTTTTATTTCATGTAAGAATTCATATGTACTGTTTCTTTTTGTGTTTGTTTATAGTTTTTGCTCTAAAATTAATGTTGTACAAGTAGAAATACCTGCCATATGGGCTGATTTTTTCAGATTCACACTTCACTTATTTATTTATTTATATTGTGTAACTTTTTTGCACAATTCTGTCAACTTCCCTTTTTTGCTTCTCGAACTTTTGTGTACATTAAAATTTAAATTTATACCTAATGGATATGGCTATGTGCAGGAGGTTGGACACTTTTTAGCTGCATTTCCCAAACGAGTAAAATTAGGCATTCCTTTCTTCATTCCCCATATCACACTTGGCAGCTTTGGTGCTATTACTCAGGTTAGATTATCTAATTTCTCCAGCCAGTCACTTTTGCATTGAACCTGCAACTACAGTCTGAACTTGAAGCAATCACAACCACGTGCTTCTGTAATTTGTGGACCTATTTATCTAATATTTGTACAGAGATTTGGAAGTATTTTTTCTATAATGGGACCTGTAAACACAACATGTTTGTTTGCTGTCCAAAATGAGTCATCAGTAGTATCTTTGAAGTTTCTATTTTTCCCTATTAAATGACACATGCTAAAACATGTTAGTTAGACTGAAGTGCATTTATGTGTTTTAGTATGCATCTAAATGCTGATCCATGGTTGTGTGTTGTAGTTTAAATCCATCCTTCCTGATAAAAGTACACAAGTAGACATATCACTTGCGGGTCCCTTTGCGGGTACTGTGCTATCATTTTCAATGTTCGCCGTTGGTCTTCTTCTTTCATCAAATCCTGATGCAGCTGGAGATTTGGTGCAAGTTCCTAGCACGCTGTTTCAAGGTTCCTTGCTACTTGGTTTAATCAGTAGAGCAACTCTTGGTTATGCGTATGTCCCACCCTTCCGTTCTTTTTATGGAGTTAGAATACAATTTTACCTAAATATAGTGAATCATTATCTATGGGGAGTTTTCTAAACCAAGATGTTTCAAAGTGGTATGAAATGATTGCTGCCAATCTTTTTGGGTGCATAAACTAAAATTAATCAATATGCATGCTTTATGTTTTGGCTACAATTAACTTTTATTACACTGCTATTGTCAATGTGCAGAGCAATTCATGCTGCAACAGTTCCAATTCACCCTCTCGTGATTGCAGGATGGTATTTAACTTTTCCTTCTTAAATTCTAGCACTTTCATTTATAAATCAAGTGATTCCCCAAAATTGTGGTTCTTAACATACTCGTTTATTCATTGTTCCGTAGTATGCTTACAATTTTTTTATTTTTTATTTTTATTGATTTGCAGGTGTGGTTTAACCATCCAAGCTTTTAACATGCTTCCAGTGGGGTGCCTTGATGGTGGCAGGTCTGTGCAGGTAATATTTGCTTGGCCTTCAAAAGGCTTGATGTGATACTATCTTGATTGTCATCAAATTTTAGACAAATTGGTCATTCAATAAATATGCAATCTTTTTTTTTTCTTCTTTTCTTTTCAAAATCACATTGTGCATTAAAATGAAATTGTATAGCTTTTTATTGGAAGATGCAATTTTTTTTATATTTACTTCCTTAAAATGCTGTGAAGTTCAAAGCATAAAGTAGATAATGCATTATGTAGAAAATAGTGCATATAGTAATTATCAATATGGAGTTGTATGCGGTAGAAACAATTCATTGGAAGGTTTCTGGTTTTCTACATAAATATTCTCATTCATGAGTTGATGTCTTTTGTTCTTCACAAATGAAATTTCTAATTTGTTTCATTACATGTTCTTGCAGGGTGCTTTTGGAAAAGGTGCACTAATGGTCTGTGGTTTGATCACTTATTCAATGCTAGGGTTGGGAGTGGTAAGTCTAATCTTTGCTTAGGTTACACAACGGTGCATATTTTTATTCAACTACATTGTTCATGTTAATGTTTAACCATAATGTGATTTGGTTGCATAGAGTTGTTACTTATCAGTCTTTTTGTAATTTTTCAGTTCTATTCTTGATTTAATATTACAAAAAAATGTCACTTTTTTTCATAGAAATGTAAGCTACTTTTTTTACCCCTTCTCTCTTTTCAACAGCTTGGTGGACCTCTTTCATTTGCTTGGGGATGTTTTGTTATATTTGCGCAGGTATGTATATTCTTATTTTTCATTTTCACGATACTGACACAGTTGTTTTTCCAGTTATTCATGAGTAACTGATGTTTTGTCAGAGATCACCGGAGAAACCATGCCTAAACGATGTGACAGAAGTCGGAACATGGAGACAGACTTTTGTGGGGGTTGCTATTTTTCTTGCCATCTTGACTCTTCTGCCTGTTTCGGATGAGCTTGCAGATGAACTTGGCATAGGTCTTGTAACCACATTTTAGTTTTAATGGTTATGTGTAGTGAAATACAATATATAGGAAAATCATTACCAAAGGAGAGTCTAATTCAATTTTATACGACCCCTTGTGATACAATATTGTTAACGCGAATATTATTGTGTAAAGAAAAAGAATATTATGGGCCACATTTATTTAGAAAGAACTTAACATTTCGAATTCGGCAACATTCCATTAAACATATACATAATTTTCATTATAAAGCTCAACAGTTTTTGTGCATCAGTGTTACAGCTTGAAGTGTACTGATCTGAGCCTGCAAACTATAAACCTTAATTCTGCAGCCATTGATCTTTTCAGCATTATAATGAAATATACAAATTTTAGAAAAAGAAATATATCTAGATTAATGCTAACGGAAGGCTGATCTTTGAGGAGAACCTGGTGATCCCTCACTACTTTGAGAATCACCTCTCCAAGCATCCTGTACTTGAGCAGCAAACTGTAAATTCCACAAAACATCTTCTATGGAGGGTCTTTCTGCAGGTTCTTTAATAAGACACCTCACACATATCTCCACCATTGTCTTCAATGATTGTTCCAAGCACGCCTTGCGAATTGCTGGATCAACAATGCTCCTTCGAGCGTCCTCATCTGCTCCTAAGCTTGCTTGCAACTGCCCTCAGAATTGCAAAAAATTATACTGATATGTATGGATAATAACATCCTAAGAAATGAAGTCAGTGTTCTTGTTATTACCAGTTCCTTAAAAGCTTCTGCATCATTTGTCGTCTTTATTGTTCTTCCTAGAATGATTTCCAGTAGTATTACTCCAAGGTCATATATATCGCACTTATCTTCATGCTTTCCGCTACAAAACAGCATAGTTCATTAAATTTTAGAAACAAGCATACATATCATATGGTATGTAAAATTACGATATGATGAGTTCTGTTTTTCATTAACAGAGAATGCTGTTAAATTTCTATAACCACACCTTTTATTGATACTAGAATGTTTGAATCCGTTGGAAGAATTTCCACGTCGAACCTGCAAGAATTGATCAAGATGAATCGGTACCAACAAAAGCCTCTATCATCATAAAACAGAACAAAATAATTCATAATGAAATTATTTTCATACCTTTCCTATGTTAGATAACAAAGGCAAGTTATAACTTGTGATTTTCGCAACAAGATTGTGATCCAATAAAACATCCTCTATTTTGAGATTATTTGAATATACACCAGGGACAATTCCTGTATGCAGAAATTGGATTCCCTTTGCTACTCCAATTGCTGCTGCTATGCGTTGCGTCCAATTCAGTGACTTTCCAGTGTGCCCGTCTGTCAAAAATATGCGACAGTAACAATTATTTAGGACAAAGGATAGCAAAAATGACATTGTTGTCTCAAACTTCAATCTCAGAAAGTATTATACCAGATGTCCAGCTCCTGAGTGTGCCATTTGGTACGTATTCAAAGACAAGAAATATTCTGCTAACACTTGAATCTTCTAAAGAACATTCGAAGCAGTGTCCGAGAGCGCTAACCAAATGACGATGCCTAAGTTTCGAGATAAGTTCCATGTGCTGCATGAAGTTCTGAGTGCTGTATCTTTTTTTCATTTTGATACATCTAAGAACAACAGATGATCCATTCTTCAGCTGACCTTTGTACATCTGAGACATTCGCTAAAGCGCACGATTCAAAGAAATATTCGTTATATAAAACATGATCTGTGACAGTGTGGGAGTGACATACCTCTCCATAAGAATCTTCACCCATGAAAGAAGCCGTGTCAAAGTTGTTTGTAGCTGCCTCGATCTCTTCCAATGAAAAACTCTTATAGTTTGGCAGGCCAAGCGCTCCGAATTTCTTTGTTTGAGATATATATCCTTTACATACACAGAAAAATAAATGTTTATGAATCTGTATTTACCACAGAAAATGACAAGAACATCATATTTAAGAAAGATAGAAGATTACTTGCATCAGAAAGCAACTTAGAGGTGTATCCGGAAGCTGCATTCTCCGATATTAATCTTGTTGGAGGAGTCTTGTTCGTTTTCCTTTTAGGATTTCCTCTTCTAACAATAAATAAAATCAGCAAAAAAACTGCTACTCCTCCAATAGTTCCACCTACTATACCAAGGGTAAGAACTACCTTTGATACTTGCTTCTGCTTCTTTCTTTCAGGTAATACTCCCACAGCTAAGGCTTCAGTGTGGCAAAAAGGCGGTGGCTGCTGATTTTGATTCGTCGTCTCGAGACAATTTCTAGCATACGAGACAGTCCTATCACTAGAATTTGAAACTAGACATTTCGGTAAGCTCCCAGTCAAGAGATTCGACGATAAATCAACAACTTCAAGCTCAGAGTTGCAAGAAACGTTCTCGAAAAGCATTCCGGTTAATTTGTTCTGAGAGATGTTGATGTAAGCGATAGAAGGAAGTGACAACAATGCTGTTTGAAATGGCCCGACAAATGTATTCGACGAGATATCAAATCGCTTCAGCTGATAATACGAGCTCACATCAGCCGGAATACCAGACCTGAACATGTTATCTCTCAGCACTAAAGTAACCAATTTGTGACCAAGCTTTGGAAATTGAGGTCCAAAAGCATTATCATCCAATTCAAGTACTTGAAGATTTCTCAAGTGACTCAAATCAGGTATTACACCGTAAAATTTATTACGAGAAAGCGAAAGAACTCTCAAATTATCCAAGTTACTAACCGAATTCGGCAACGTTCCGTTGAACAAATTGTTCTTCAAACTCAACACTGTTAAGCCCGAAAGCAAGTCAATCCAAATAGGAACCACACCAGAAAACATGTTATCGTCAAGAATGAGTGTTTGAAGATTCGAAAGCGATGAAAGTTCGATAGGGATCGAACCGTATAAATGATTCGAACTCATGTTAACTATTTCCAACGACGAAAGACGGGCGAGTTTACCCGGTAACGGACCCCATATACCAAGAGAAACCAATGTGAGGACTTTCAAACCTTGAAGCTTCACCAGTGTTGTAACAAATGAATCAACTGAGAAATTTTTCGACAGAGTTTGAGTTTTTCCTTCACCTATTATATGAAGCTGAGTTATGGTATCTTCATAGCATACAACAGCGAGTGAAGAGTTTGAATCTGTGTTGCAAAAATCTGTGGAGTTTTTCCAACTTCTTAAGGAAGAAGGAAAGTTCAAAAGCTGTTGAATTCTCAAAAGGGTTTGAGAGTTTGAAGATTGAAGTTGCTGTGAATAATTCACACAAAGTAAAAAAGTTACCAACACAAGAAACACAGAAGCCATAGTGTTTTTTTTGTTAGTTATATTCTAAAAAACCATTGAAATTCTCTCAAACTTGAAGCCTTCAAGCACAAGCAGAAAAAAAGCCTGCAATTACAAGAAATGATATCAGCATAAAACAAAAACTTATATACCTCAAGAACCACCATAGGTCACCATAATGAAAAAAAATCCAAAAAATAATCAGAAGTGAAGAAAAGACCAAAACTCATACTGTTTTCTTCTATCATTTCATGATTCTCACTCATAAATGACTTGTTAATTTTTCTTTCATCCATTTATTTTGTTTGTTCCTTGAAAAATGTCTTTATTAAAGCAAAAGAAAGATTCTTGCAATGAAGGGGACCTTTATTCTTAACCTTTAATGTTTAAGTTTAGCAGATATGGTTTAAGGATCAAGTTTGGTAGTGTTGTCATGATTTTGAGGTGGGAAATTTGGTAAAGTTTGGTTTGGTTTTGAGTTGAGTAAGTGGTAATAATGTAAGCTTTCACTTTAAAGCATAGGTGAGCTTTCACTTGTAAATGGTAAGGTGAAATCAATCAATGAAGTATTGAAAGGAAGGTAAGAATTGTTGTTACATTGTAGAAAGTTGAAAAATCCATGTCAGAAAACCATGTATGCTCTTAAAGGAAAAGGAACTAAACACAAACAAAAAAATAATGGATGTTCTAAAGTAAACAAGTACATGTCTGTGAAAGCATGTGTTATTATTATTATTATTATTTTTTTTTAATTCTTGATAATAACCTACTTTTAGAGTAAAGAATATTTTATGGGAATAAAATATAATGTTGAGTGTATAACGTTGGGTATTAGGATGCAGATCCACTCACACTTTTTATTCTATCTATCTCCATGTTTTTCTATATTTTTTTTTTCTCTTTATCTTTTTCTGATTTTCTCTCTTCTCCACCTCATTGTTATTGCTAAGAGGGGATGCATCATGGGAGAGGAATGGGTTACCAATAACATGTCTAAATATTTTTAGAAGTTGTTAGATTTAAATATAAATATATTTAAAATTAAAATAACACACTTTTGTTTTTGTTTAAAATATTTTTTTTTTCCAATTTAGAACTAGAATTGTTGTTGAAACATTGAGATGACACATGAGTGGATTTAGGTGTGGCTGACGGACATGCCCGCTCAATTAAGGGTCGTCATGCAAAGGTCTGTATAAAATGAGACGGGATAGAGATGGACATAATTGAGTGTACGGATCTAAAACTTAGATTCCCTACAAAAAAGTGAGGGTAGGGCGGACCCACATACACTTAACTTTTTTTTCCTAAAAATATAAAATTTTATGTTAGTATATGCGTCTGCAAAAGCGTGCAAAAAAACGGGGCAGGACGAACACATTAGAGATCGCAAGCATAAATCCTTGGTCCGCTCCACACTAAAGTGCAGACAAAACAGGCATGCCCAACGAGCTGGGCCAATTTTACCACTCCTAAGTGGACTTGCAAAGTTAGCACTTCAATGTCGAAGTCAGTGAGATCATCAAAGTGATATAAAAATAGGAATGAAATTGAATACTTGAGTCTGACACACTTTTTTCTTTATATACTAGGGACGGTTAAAATCACCCGTGAGGGACGCAACAAGCTATACGAAAATTCATCTGATTGATCGGGACTGTATGTGATGCACTAGAGGATGAACTTATCTATCTTGGATGAGAGGAAAGGAACACTTGTTTCTCGTGTTTGCTTTATGCATTCTCGCCTATGGTTTTTTTTTATCTTGGGCATTGCAGACGACCCAAAATAGTCGCCCCTAGCCCTTGTCTCTGCTCTGTCGAATAATGGTTTTTCCAAGTAAATTTCTAGATCAGATGCTAGCTGAGGTAAATAAAAACTCTTAATGAGATGTCACTGGTGGCATTGGAAACATATGTATTAAATGTTTTTCTTGCAATAGATGACGTTTTCCAGTGAGGTCTTGACACATGTTCCTAACTTGTCAGTAATGACTTCCTTTTTGTCCTAGGATACTTAAGTGTTCTTGCCCAATTTTAAAGGGAATTTGGACCATTAGTGGCTTATTTCTCGCTTCCCAACGTACAAGATCACGTGGCTCGTCACAATGAGGATACACATAAGAACCTTCTAACTTAGCACTTTCTTTCTTTCACCATTTGTTGAATTCAAGAAACTCTTCTTATTATTCTTTGCTTGTAGCTTCTTCCTTGTTGTCAAAATTTCTACATAGGTTTTCGTTTGAGATATGTTTGCATCTCCTCCTCAGCACACGAATCTTCACCTTCGCTTATTTTTAAGGTAATACTTAAGCTATCTCTTTCCATCTTTGTCATTTCCCTTTTCTAGGGTTTCAAACATTCTTGCTTAGTCTTTAATTAATTCCTTCGCCATGGCATACTTTGATAGAAAGTGTTTGATCTAAGTTTGAACTTGCTTTAAATTCCTTATTTGAACTTGTTCTTTTTGCTCATCGCTATGGAAGTAATACCAACCATGAAAAGGAAAGCAAAAGGAAATATTTTAGCAGATTAGGTAGATCAAGAGACGTTGGATACCGCCTCTGTTTTTGCTAGAAGGGATGGTATGGACCGTGCTTTTCCTGAAGTGGTTCCTTATCAAATTGAAGGGTGTTCCCTCCAGATGAAAATAAGAGGATACACAATAAATATGAAAGATGTGTCATTTCATTTCATGAATGCTTATTCTCTTTAATAGGCTTTCGCCTTCCTTTGAACAACTTTGAGATAAACATCTTGAGTCACTTGGTAATTATTTTTTCATGTTGCTCCTTTTAGATTGACTGCATTATGTAAAATAATATTAGAGATTTCAAGATGTTTTAGACCATAAGGACACATGCGAGAACCGATATCCCAACATCTGTCCCTTGTTTGCAAAACAAGGATGTTGCCATGTGTACGCATTTTTTTAATTACGTGAAATGTGTTTTTGATGATGTGTGCAACAAATATTGTTGATATCCTTTAGCAATTAGATTTATTTGATTATTTAATTAGCTTATATTTAAATCAAGGAGATTTAAATTTAAATTTAAATCAAATCAAATCTTATTTTGTGGAGCTGATTTGGAGAAAAAATCTCAACAATATTTTCACTAATTCTGGATGAAATCAGATCATTGTCCAAGGAGAAAATGCCCATAAGATATTACTATTTAAGGAGAGTCAATTCTCATGTTTAGGGGTGAGTTTTGTGTACAAGACTGAGTTCTTAGTGCCTAGGGTTTGTGAGTCTTTTGTTTCTTATATTCCACGCTAATGCCCTCATAAGGATTAATGTTGAATCTACTGTTGTACACCACTTTATGTTTTAGTAACTTGGCATAGCTGTTGGTTTATCTTAATTGAGTTGTAAACTCAACAATAAATAGAGTTGTTATTAAAGTTGATCACTGGAGGTTAGTGATTGAGAGAAAGTGAGAAGGGTTCTCATACTTAGAGGAAAACCTAAATAGAAAGTTGTCATACCCCAAATTTTGACCACCTTAGATCCTCATTACCATTTTTAGAAGCATGATCATGCATTATCTAACCCTAAACCAGTGCAAGTTTATTATTGTCAAGTTACAGATGAATCAGGGTTCTCGCACCGACAAATTCAAAACAATCAAGGAATGATCAACCAATGATTTGGGCCAATTCAATCATGGAATGAAATCAAAGACAATATCAAAGTCAAATGGGAAGTCAATTTGAAGAAATCGTTTCAGAATCAAGAACAGTGCAGTCAGGAGGCCCCGATTAGGGTTTTTAACCAGTGGAAAGTCAACTGTGGTTTGACTTTGATGTTGGGAAAGGTTTTAATGGTGGGAGTGAGGTCCATGAAGTTAATATAGGCTATTAAAGACTATTCAAGAAGTGTCAAAGTCCCAGGATGTCCATAATATCAACAGGCGACTCGATCGGCACCGATCGATCGTACGGTTGACCGAAAAGTCAACTCCTCGAATTTTGAGAATTGGAATCCAAGTTGTGAATCAAAGTTGTTCCTTATGTCATAATGGATTTGCATATCAATTTTCATGATCATTGGATCAAAGATGAGAGAGTAATCGAGAAATCGGGAAATTAGGGTTTTGAAAAGGGCTAAACCGTATCTCCTTAACCGCACATCCAATTGAGTTGGTTCTAGTCTCATTTGAAAGCTCTTGACAAGTCCTACAAAAGTCCCATACTAGTCCACAACCAGAAAATGCATACTTTTTGAGATATAAGCAAAAACATTTCTAGAAGGGAAAATAACTTAGAAAATTTCTAAGTCATTTACACTAAAGAACCCTAAAATCAGCCAACTTCAAGGGGATTTTTCACCTAGTTTTAAATGGAATCAAGACTTCTGGCCAACATGAAAGTTGTAGTACTATGTGAGGGCTTTCTAAAAAGTACAAGTACATCTCAAGGGGATTTATGAGCTGAGAGATACATGTGTTCAAAGTTGGCAATTTGTCACTTTTGTCCCACATTGATGAATTTTGCAAAAGCACCTCTATCACTCAAGTGGATCAATTTCAATGTTCTAAACTCCTTCTATCTGATATATTAATCATCTCAAGCAGGTTGAATCAAAGAAATAGCAAGGAGATAGCATGGAATCAAGAATTGGAAGTTCATTGCCTAAGTTGAAAAGATTGACTTTTCCAAGCATGAGGTGTAAAGGGATTTCTGCTCCAGCCACTCTACCAAGCCTCTAGGCTGTGTTTTCTCTGTAACATCATCATTCTAACTTGCCAATTGAGTTAAGGGAACAGCTAGAGATCAGAAAAGCAAAGCAAGTTGTCATTTGGAAGAAAAAATCTAAGATTTCTTCATGGTGAAGCAAAGTCACCTAGCAAGCTCCTCACTCATTTTTTCTATAAATAGGGACTTCAAACTCCTCATTTAGGACATGAACTTCATTCTAAAAACCTGCTAAACCAAGTTCCCTCATCACATCTCTCACTTACTTACATTTTGCAAAATCACCAAAATAGCCAAAAATTGCCAAAATTCAGCATTTGC